TTGTTCTTTAACATGGATTTAACCTCTTCTCTTGATTAATTCCTTTCTTTTTAAAATCCCGAGAGGGATTTCTGGTCTCCTGACTGGACTGTAACTGATATACCTGAATTCTCACCTGGTCTTTGACTGTCACATGTCTCAGGTTTCCCCTGTGTGAATTTGTCTAAACTGAGAGTACCTTGCATGCCTGTCAGCTGCCTCTGTTTGTCCTGAGTTTGCTGCTGCATCCCTGTGGGTTGCAGGAATTGCTGCTTCTTTGTTTTCTTCTTGCACCTACATCACCCTGGTCTCATTGTGCCATGTTGAGAGAAACTCCAAGGGAGAAACCTGGGGACGCTGTCTGAAAATCATCTACCTAGACACACACCACAAAGACCGCTCTGCTTCTGTACTATGCCGGGTGCTCTTAGGGATGAAGACATAGTTCTCACTGTCCCCAACTTTACCCCCTAGGACACAGTCCCTTCTCAGAGAGATGCAATGATAGCTAAGCTTTCTTTATTTGGTCTTTTATTTTCTCCTTCTTTCTCCAGTCTGGGGACGATTTTCTAGTCTCTAATGTGTGTGTTCATGTATGTCCGTGTGTCTATGTCTGTGTATCTGTATGTGTCTGTGTGTATCTGTGTGGAGGAAGGAAAAAGGTCCTGACAGATGAGCTTTTAAACCGCAAGTCCTCCTCAGGGCCTAGGATTTTGAAACTAAAAATTTTTACAATAGTTCAACTCTTTTGTTACCTGCATTCCATTGGCTCACATTTGTGTCCTGAGGCATTACAGACAAATTGGTAGCTGCCCCCAAATGAGGGAGGAAGGTAGGTTTAACCAGAACTACAAGGTACATCTGTTATTTTTCAAAATAGCATCCTGCCCCAAATGTTTTTAACCCATCCAGACCAAAAGTCCATTTTCCCCCTAATCTTCACCTTCCTTTTTCCTGATCACAACCCCCTTCCTTGATTTTCCACTCTCCCTTCTTCCACTCTCCCTTCTTCCCTTCATGCCCTCCCCGCAATTCCCGAGACTCTGGTCTCATTCATGTTGGGGCAACTTGTGCACACTTTCATCAAGGCACTTACCATGTGCTAATGGCTGAATCTTTATAGGGACTGTGAGAAACTTGCAAAAAAATGTTCTATTTTACTCTGTATATTCAGTCTCTAGGAAAGAGCCTGGCATATAGAAAGGATTCAATAAACTGATGAGAAACTGATATCTAGATAAAAATGGTTTGTCCAAGTATTAAGACAGTAGCTAACACAATGCACTAACCACATCCCTGTTCTGATCTTAGCTATTTAGATACATTAACTCTTTGATTCTGCCGGTAATTCTGAGTAGATATTTATTATTTTCCTTATTTTACAGAAGGAGAAATGGAGCAACAGAGAGGTTCAGTAACTTGCCTAAGGTTCACATAGTAAGAAGTGAAAGAGCCATGATTTGAACTCAGGTAATTTTGTTTCAGAGTCTATGTTCTTAGCCACTAGTCCATGCCACCTCTCATATGTTGACTTGGCTTTTGTATGGAGATGGCATTCTCATTGTGTGGAGGATTCTTATACATTTAAAAAATTGCACTGGCCTAAAATGCCTCCAAAAAAGGCATAAAAGGAAGAAAATACCAGGAAACGAAATTATATTGTTTTACATATTATTAACTTGAATAATTTATCGACATATGTACCTGAAAAGCACAAGATGACAAGTCAAATTCTTATCACTGTCACACTAGGGTCAGGATGCTCATAGCTGCTAAAGGGTCATGTTACGTCCTGGACACTAGAGTATACCCTCAAAAAAGGGACAAGAAAAAGAAATTGCAAAGCTGGAAAGAATTATTGCTAATTTTAAAGCATATGAAAAAAAATGGAAGAACAGATGAGGCACATTCCCAGTGATCTAATCTTTCCAAAGGGGGGAAAAATAGAGTAATTCAGATTTTTCATTTATTTTTCTAGAACCACCAAACTTAAGTCAAATGGTAATTCTAATGAAATAGCCAAGGATGTGGCATTTAAATTATTTATTGAAACAGCCTTAAAACAAACATTTCTTTTTGTAGGAATTTACCTAATCTTTCACAAGTTTAAATATAAAAATTTTACATTAATTGTCACTATTAACTTTGGGTAAGTATGAGAGATTTGGATAATTTTTCTGGGCAAGTAATAGTTCATCTGAAAAGCTTTTTCAGATGAAATTTCTTTATTCCTTATTATAACACTGAAAATCATGTAGATTTTTGTGAGCTACCTTCCTTTGCTATAAACTATGATACTAATAATGATTATAACTTCTTAGTTGTTGAAATTCTGATATCTATCTAATTTTCTTTATTGTTCTATATTAACTATATCTCCTTGCAACTAATGTGATATAATGGAAATATTTCCTTATCGAATAAAAAGAATTAGCTATGATTTACCATGGGCGAAACAAGCCAGGTTTAAAGACTGAGTATTAAAAAAAATAAAAGGTAAAAGGTCCTTTGGCCCATTTTGGACAAAGAACACACACACATTCATTTACTCATTTATTTAAAAAGTGTTGAGTACCTATTATATACAAGGCAAAAGCTGGTATATTAACAATGTCTATTAGCATATGATAATAAATGACTCTAAACATGACCAGTCCATCAATTCATTTATGTGCTAATGCCTGGTTAAGTTAAATGATGGGTGCTGTCCATTTAAGGCTCTTAAGACACCCAAAATCCTGGTAAATTAAATGCACTGTAATTATAGTTATACTTTTGTTTCTTAGGCTAATAAATAATAACACCCCATTGAGGTGGTAAGAACCTCAAGTAGTCACAGCTATGGCTGAAGAAGTAAGCTGGTTATAAGCCAGATCTAATTTTTCATCTGATTATTGGTGAACATTTGACATGGTGTATAACTACATTAAGTATCTAGCAGATATGCATATCAAAATGCCATATTAAGTACATATGTATTGTTAATAATAAAAGGAATGAAAGAAAGTTAATGTGAAAATTTCGTTAAGGAAGTAGTGGCCCAAATTGTCTGTATTTAGCTTTCCTACCACTTATGAAGCTAAAATAGTCATCATTTTCCACATGTATATTTTACAATATGAAAAATTTAATGTCAAATGGAATACTTTATTTTCTGATGAAATCTGGAACTGCAGCAGAATCTCAGCTTTATTTTATTAAAAAAGTTAAAGCCTTGGATAATGCTAAATTTTTTTAAATGGGTCTATGTAAACACATGAAGTCACAATTCATTTATTGATTTTAGGCTCTTCTATGTAGTTACAAAATCCCTTTATTATAGAATTACTTAGTAATGTTAATTGAATTTATTCTAGAAAATTTAGTTTCTTATGTGTTATGATTCCTCTTTTCTGTACAAGACTGAAGATAAAGGTCAAATAATTTTAAGAATTATTGTTAAGTAAAAATATTGTGATCTCTACATGAAAATCTTGAGCAATTTCATCTCAATTAAAAATAATACTAATATTCCCCATGGTATTATAATATGGCAGGGACTTTTTGAAAGCAATTGAAATATGTTAACAATATTTTTATGTTAAACTTAGTGTTGGGAGTCTACACATTATTAATTTTTTAATAGATGATTGCTTATGTCTTTATTTGCTTAGAAGTTTGAAAATTGCTAATGGTGGAAAGGTTAGAACAATGAGGTACCAATCAGATTTCTTGACAGTTTCAGGTTTAAATGAACAAAATTTTCATTCGGTTAGCCCCTGGCCTTTGCAGCCAGGTACGTCTTGTTTTTGGTATCTTAATTAAAGGACAACGAAGCTACAAGAACAAGCTATGAAAAAAAGGAAGCATCATAGAAGCAAAAGTCTTCTCTGATCATTCTGTTTTTGTTTTCTTTATTGAACACAGACCTGAATGTTTCTGTGCTTCTAAAAGTTTAAAACACAGGTATTAGGCAGATAGAAGAAGCACAAAGGTAGAAAAAGAAGGGCTCTCATTTCAATCATACAATCATTGGCCACCAGTGCTTCAAGGGGCCTCCACTAGTCCCCTGGGCTCTTCTCCTGTCTCTGAGGGCAGGGCTTCCTGGAAAGATCACTGCTCATATTTCCACTCTTTTCCAGGCAACACAAAACTACTGCTTTCCTTCTGGAGCCCGAGAGCGGCAAAGCTACCTTTTCCTATACCCATCCAGCCTTGATACACTACATGTAGTCTGTTTCCTTGAAGTGTTAGGTTGGGCACGTGAGGAGAATGGATAGAAGAGTTCATCTCTTATCTCTTCAATATTATGCTGAGTCTCTTCTTATCTATCAGGGAAAAATTAAAAAGTACTTAGGGTGGGATGGGAATAGTCATACATAGAGGGGACAGAGTTTTCTGTAATTTTTCAATACCACCAAGGCACTGGTAGTTAAATGAGCCAGGGGTGACAAACATTTTAGAATTTTTGTCAGTTCACAGGACAAAGATTCGTGACTACCCTTTTCAGTTCCCCAAGCATTTATTGATGGATCAATTGCCAGATTAGTCTATTTAATGGAAAGAGGCACTCTTTTGTTACGGGGAATTAAGTCAAGAAAGACTGGAATTGTAAGCACTGGTGATGGATTTCAGTTGGGTAATGCTTTCTGATCCCTAACTACATAACTGGATAAGAAAGTGCATCAGTCAGATGTGAAAAAGCATGTGCTGCCTCTCGAAAGTCCAGAAGTGCTTAAAAACTGTGATGTATATAATTCAGAACAATAAATTACGTGCACAAAAGGAGTTTATCATAACATAAAATTAAAAAGTGACAATTTCATCACACGGTTACACTGCTGTTTTTTTTTTCTCTTTTTTTGTGGTTTTGTCCTTTTTTGTTTCATTTTTCGTTTCCATTTTTGTTTTTGTTTTTTTTTATGGAGGGTCAGGGAAGGGTAGAGATTTGGTCCACTGAAGATTAATAACCCTCAATGATATATATATTAGAAAAAATATCAGCAGCAAGACTCTCTGGAAATAGATTCTGTTTGATGTAGCTAGTCTGTCTTTTCTGTTTTGCCCTCTTTCACGGCAGCCTCTGAAGTTTTCCGCAGGGGGGCTTTCTCCGAATTGGCATGTCCTTGGCCAGAATCTGCCGCTCCGCCATTTTTGTGGGTAGTGTGTTTTTCCAAGTAGTTTAGCATCTCACTGAGGACCGTTTGGAAAGTGCTTAGGGCTGCACATATTGCTGGAGTCCCAAAACCATGAGTGATCAAACTGAAAATAAGAAGTGGTAGGGGAAAGAGATGAACAACTTATAGTATGATATAGGACAACAAACCCCCCAATTAATCCAGAACATTCAATTCGACAGGCATTTATTATGTTCCTAAGTGGTGCCACGCATTGTGGAAGATAGAACACAAGTCAGACTATTGCTTTGACCATAAGAAATTTAGGATGCATTTGGAAGACTTGTCATTGACAGACTTAGTATGCACTCAATATTAGCAAGTCTGTGTGTTTAACTCATGACTTGACTCTGATTCTCTATCTCAGTAAGAAAGTCAGAAAATACAACTTTCTATGTGTGGGAATCATCTCATTTTTAAGAATGGTATCCATGCTTGTATGGGCATAGATTATATAAGAAGAAATAGAAATTGGCTGAAAGATGGCTAACTGTTTTTCTGACTTCATCTTCTCTTCCTAATAGTAATAAAGATGGCCATGGCCATCCAGCTGGAGACCACATTTCCAATCTTCTGTTGCAGCTAGGTTTGAACATGGGACTAACCCTCCCACAGTGGATAAAATATGATGGGAAGTGTTATATCTATGTGAGTCCCACTTGCTTAAAGGGAAATTGAGTGCCCTTTCTTTTTTCTCAAAATTATCATGCAGCTATGCAGATGAGGATAATCACCTTGGCAGTGGGGACAGAACAAGATGGAAGGAACTCACTCACCTCTAGTCTCATAAATGAGAGAAAAATAAAATTCTATTTTATGTAAACCACTCTGTTTAGATTTTAGCCTATAACTAATTAACTAATAACAAAGGTAGGGGGCGTTGTGGCAACCTCAGCATAGGTAGCCCTTCCAACCATGACAAATGTCCAAATACATAATTGCGGATTCACTCTTGTGAATAGAAGCCATCCAGGTTGTTCATTTGGTCAACTGTTTCTGAAGTTACACTCCACCAGGTTGCTCTCTATAATTCATACTTGTAATAATATAGAAAAACATGCTTGACATATATTACACATATGTTATAATATACACACATGGTATGTAAGTGTGAGAAACTATTAATTGCTTATAAGTTCTAAGTTGTTATAATTGTTATGACATCAGCAGTTTTTAAATCAGATAGAACTACCCTCCATAATATGGCAACTAGCTAGTTACCCTTCTTAAGGTATGTGATCTTTAGGAACAAAAACAATGACATTTTTCAAAAATGCAAATGAGAGATTTGGGGTCTAAGGCAGCCCACTAATATGCCTCAGTGGTGATAATAATAGGATTAACCACTTGAAATTTTTGTTTATATTAATCCATGCAAAGGGCTCAAAATAATGCCAGACCCATAATAAGTGTTCAAAAAATATTAGATATTGTTGGCTGTGGAGTTTTTATGGTGATGATAAAATTTACTGCATGTTCCTCAGTATACTCCACAGGTTGCTAGTGTCTTTCATCTGATATTTACAAAGCTTGCTTAGGTCATAACATACATTAAAAGGAAAAAGGCTTCAGTCTTCAATTATTTAGCAAACAAGAATGGTAAGTTCTTGGGCAACTGCATATACCAAAAATTTGTAATATAAGACATCCTCATAGTTAAAGCACATGTGTATCTTTGCTGCAGTGTCTTGGAATGCTGAGTGGGAATACTGACTTCAGCTCCATATCTACAATGAGATAACTAGAGAGGAATCATATACTTTATGATCTATCAGGGAATCTGGACAACAAATGGAATTGATTAGAGTGGTAGAAGAATTAATCGTGGCTGCACCTACAAAAAGAACTGAGTGAAGCCATCTACTGATATCCAGATGCTTGGCTTTAGGTCCATACTGCCTCTTTTCTCATATTTTATACCTGTTTAAGAATCCTTGTACCATTAGAAAAATTTTATTTTCCTTTTTTACTTCCACTTTCTCTTAGTAGTGACTGCCCTCTTCATCTATAACTGAGTATGCAGAATTTAGTTTCACTAGGTTAAACATTAACACTAATAACCGATATTTGAATTCTGACCATATGCCAGGTGTATTCCAAGTGCTTTATTCCGTATCACCTCATATATTCCTAGCATTAACACTAAGAAGTAGATATTATTATTTCCATTTTACAGATGGAGAAACTAATGCCCAAATAAGTTAAATAATCTGCCTGGGAAATCTGACATTTTGTATTGCCTTCACGATTATGTTTTTCTCAGGCTGAGGGTATGTTTTTCTCCTTTTCTTTAAGAAATCACTTTATGTTAGCAGTTTTAGCTTAGTTTTTCTAACTTTGTTCTTTAAGCAGACTTGTAGCCTAGAAGATAATTCTTCTTCTTAATTTTCTTGTCCAAGTTCAGCATTTTAAAACATCAAATACAAAGTGGACAGGTCTACATAAATGATTTGACTCTCCATGTCAAGAAGATTTGTTGCCATAATGAAAGATTCTTAAGATGATATCCCTTCTTGTCTGATGGCCTTTCCTGTTTCTAAAATATGTATGTGATCATTAGAAGGTTGCATTGTCATCTTTGCCCTAATTGAGAACCAGGTGTAACAAGTCTTAACTTTGGTGCTGAGCTTAGACACTTTGTGATTTGGGAGGTCATTTAGCCTTGCAAGATGACAATGTTCTGACTAGAACATCTGCAAGGTTTTTTCCAACTCTAAACTTCAATTCACCGGTACTAATGCTTATGGTGTTCTTCTTAAAACCCAAGGCATGAACAGAAGGTTACAGATATCTAAGGACCACTGAGCTCAACAGAGGAGTATAAAATTGATATTGGAATATGCAACATAAGAAAAGTTAACTATTTAAAGTGTTATCTTTCAACATGAAAAATATTACATTTTTTTTTTAGTTTCTTTAAGTTAACATTATCTGCATATCAAAAATAATATGTGATAAACTGCATAGAATGATATTTAATGCAAAGGATAGCCTCTGTTCTAGCAGTTTTCAGTGACATTTATGAATTCAAATAATTAAAATAATCTAATATTATACAGGGATAGCACTGAAAAAGTGTGAAATCAAAGGATGATTAAAAAGAACTTTTGGGAATGTCATGCTATTCTGTTAGCTCCAGCCACACCACAAAAATAGGTGCATATCTCGCTCAGTGACATACAAAAAGTAGAAAAGGAATAATGTAGGACATACAGAAAAATTAAAGAAAAACTGAAATGATAAGGCTGACTTTCACTCCTAGAGAGAAAATAAAGTTATCTGTAAGGTAATATACTATAGTCAAATCTCCAAAATCTTTGATAATGAAAATCACTTTTGCCTTTAGAAAATACTATTTTCAACCATAAACTTAATATTTAAGTTATGCTTGGCATTTGCATATGTTTTCATCAGATTAACATCAGAGAGCATTTCACAAGCAAATATTACCTAGGTTAAATAGTAGCCATGATGGTTGAAAGTAGGTAGTCAAAATCTAGAAGTTCTTCTAAATTCAAATTTACCTAAAAGTTTATCCTCAACAAGACAAATGAAAAATACAACTAGGATTGTGCTAGATGTATTGTCCTCATGCCACATTTTAAAAGTTTTGCTGAACTTTTTAAAGTTTGCTGAACTAAAGTAGAGAATTCAAATGTTCTATCAGATTATTTAACGCATTTGCATTCCCCAGGTCTATTTCCTTCACCTTTTGTAATCACATGTTCTATTACTTTATTTTTGGAAGACTTATTTCCATCCCCAAACCTATGATGGACATTCTTATTTGTGCAACTCTGCTTATCCTCCCTCTTTTCAGCCAATCATTAAGTCCACTTACCCTTCAAAGTTCCTTGAATGATATTGAAAAAAAGATGTTAGTTTCCTGATCCCTTGATTAACATATTGAAAAAGATACACTACTTCAAAGGCTAGAAACTTGCCCAAGTGACAAGAGGACTTACTTAAATAGAATTCTGAGCACATAGGAGCAGCATTCCCTCCAAAAACATAAAAACTAGAACAGAGAGAAGACGATGGAAGAAAATAGGCAGGGGAGGATAAGATCTCAATTATCAAAGTGAGTATGAGGAGTGGGGCAATATAGGTGGCCTTAGAGGATATGTGATAATCAAAGTCTACTAGATTTTAGTGTAAGTGACAAATAAGATGCTATATACATCTCTAAAAATTTATGGTTTGGGATCTTACTATAAATTAGTAATCAAAATTATAGCCTAATCTTTAAAAAAATACAAAGAGTGTTAAAACACACCACAAACCAAAAGCAAATAAGAAAACAAACAAAGCTGAGATGAGGCATTTTTAGCATTTACCTACACTCTACCTGATTTCGTCTGCTGCCAGCATTTGCATAATAGTCACCTCCAGGAGGCAGCAGCCTTGGGAAACAAAGGGTAGGGACACCAGTGTCTGGAATAATTGAGTTACAAATGCTAAAGTTTCCTCGATTTCATTTGGGAATCTCTGATGCCCGGGCTGGTAAGATTTAGTTTAAATTTACATTTCAAGAGTGACTAAGAGAAAAAATGCAAAGACAGGCCCAAGGTTTGGGGGAGATAGTGTTAGCATATGAAAGATTAAGTGGCCATTAGGATACTTTGCTTTAAAAAAAAAAAAGTATTGAATCTTTAAAACTGGCAACTGTATACTTAACGGAGTTGAGATTTTTCAAATATAGAAAACTCCTCTTTCAAGATCAAGAAAACACAGGCAAGAGTTTCTGAGGCACTGGAGTTGTTAGGTAATCTTTGAAATGTCATGGAAGATGAGAGAGGAAGTAGTGAGTTGGAATAGAGAAACATGCCTTAATAATCAAAGCAGAGGAAAGAGACAGATTTGAGAAACTCTAGGTTTTTAAATTATATTTAGTAAGCCCCTTAACAAATTTGTTGTAATGAGATATTTTTTTCAAATCAGGTTTATTGAGTTTGAATTTACATATGGTAATATTTACTCTTTTTAGGTATATAGTTCATTGAATGTTGACAAACACATATAGTTATGTAATCACCACTATTAGCCAAAAAGTATTCTTGCACTCCTTTTCAGTCAATTCACTCT